TATTAAGAATTTATTAAAGATTAATTAGATTAAGTGGTGCTAGTCATTATTATACCAGAGCAAAGAGACTAATTTCATCCTCCTTCGAACTAGTTGCCCTATGTCCTCAAGTTTCCAAACAATATATCATAATCTCCATCTTGACTTTGTTAAGTTTTAAATATACCACATAATATGCCTCTCCAAAAGGAATCAAGCATACTTTATGAGGCTTTAACTTATTTAAAATTTATTAAAGATCTATGAGTCCAATGTATTTGGGTCTTCACAAAGGAGTTTTAAACACAATGCATAAAGGCCTTTGATTTAATTTAATATTTAAACAATGAATTATTCTAATTAAAGAGGGTTTAATTAGATGAATTATAAATATATATTTAATTTAAATCAATTAAATTCTTATTAATGTTCTCTTATTTGTATTTAATTTATTTATTTTTTAATATTTTATTTGAGTTTTTTCTAATTTTTATTAATTATTTATGTTTAATTATTTAGTTTTGTTTCAAAATTTAATTTATATTTTTTTTATTCTTAAATATTCTAATTTTTAATTTCAATTTACATAGAACTTATTTTTAATTTTTATTAAATTTAGATTCATTAATTCCTTGTTATTTATATAAGCTTGGTTGGTTTAATTTATTTAGATTTGATAGTTTTATTTAAATATGTTTATTTTTTTATTTATATATGATTATTTGCATTATGATTTAATAAAATAAATTCAGCAAACACCTAATTATGAAAAGCATTCTATCCTAAAAAAAGGTTTTTTAAGAAATAAAAATAGGTGTGGGTAATTAATCCAAGCTACACACTCTTAATTTTGGCTCTAACGAATAAAATCCTATTCACTAGTAGGTTATTGTTTTTAAAATAATAAATTTAAATTTTCTACAAGAACATGAAGTTTAAGGGGAATCTTATAAACATCCAAGGCCTTAAATACCTAGGGGGCCCTAAGTTTTAGATGATTACCTCACCGAAGCAAGTCTGATGGCCGGCCATAGTATACTTCTTTGGATGTAATGAGAGAAATTAAACTCCTTAAACGTTTTATACAAGTATATCTACCTTTCCTCATAAAATAAGTAATAAAATAAAGGAAATAGTGGTTAGAAGTGAATTTCATATATGATGTGAAATGACATATAAGAAGATTCAATATGTTCAAATGTTAAAGTTAACATGCATATGTACATGATGATAACGTAGAGTGATATTACATTTGAGCAATTGCTAAATAAATTTTATACAAGCCAAGTGTTTTTCATAATATCATAATAGAGAAGAAGAAGAAAGGGCAAAGAGATGAGAGAAATACAAATGCCAATTTACTTCTTCTTTTAAGTTCTAAATCCCTCCACCAATTACATCTCTCTTCCATATAGCCAATATGAATGCAATGTATCACCTCAAGCTTCATTTTTTTCCTTAAATTCTGAACATATGAAACCCAACATAAAACCTCCCTTATACGAATGTAAAAATTACCACTTCCCTCCAGGAGATCATATCCTTCAAATAAATCCATCACCACAACTTACTAAATCATGAAGAATGGATGTATGAAAAGAAAAAAATAATATGAATGGAAGTAAATAAGAGAAATTTTATCGCATCAATCTTTCATACAAGAAACATTTTAGCACAATGTTACTTAACACAAGAGCACTTCAACACTTGGAAAATCACCACAATTACAATTTAATGTGGTAAGAAGAAGAATATGCATGCCCATAAATCATTAGAGTGAAATTTGTATACAATGTTGTAGTATAAATATGCATTTATAGGTCTTCAATTATAGCCACAATTTATTGAATGTTGGAGAGTGAATACACAAGTATGATTTATTTGAAGCACAATCATCTTCTTCTACATTTAAAACTTTTTTACCTAGTCATACTCATTTCATATGAAATCCATTATATTACATTATGCTACAACTTCTCTAAATTTGAAATGATTACATAAAAGCTTCTCCACTTATATATGTGCCAAGAAACAAATATATAGGAAGAATATTGAAATCTCGCATGCAGCCCACTAATGTCCATTCCTTCATCATCAACCATTGGATGAAGATTTTCTTGCTTGACGGTTTATTACCATTCAAACAAACCATATTAATTATTATATTTTGAGGAATGAAAACAAATATGTGCATGTCCTTATTTTTTTTAGAATGAAGGGCAAGGACTAGCTATTTTGAATTAGAGAAGGTTGAAGGCAAAAGTGATTTAAATTTTAGATGAATTTATGTGAATTTTATTATAAATATTTTTTATGCATATATATTATTTATTTTCTTTTCTTTTCTTTTATATTTATTATTATTATTATTATTTAATGTTTTTATTAATTTAAAAATCTTTTATATTTATTCATTAATGATAATACATTTTAGATTTTTATAAGATTTTAAATTTCATTTAATAAATTAAGTGGCATTTTGGTTATTTTTTTCTTTTATTTATTTATTTATTTTTATATTTATGTTTTAATATGAAAAAAAATTTTAAGTTAGGTTTTACCTCACTGACCTCTTCAATAGCCTTCTCAGCAACAATGGTGGTCTCTTCCGTAATTAGATCTCTCTTAGGTGCAATTGCCTCTTTCAAGTTGACTTCACTCACACTCCCTTTTGCATTATCATGAGGAAAGGGACAATTCACATCACCACCAGGACCTTCATATTCATCGATCATACCTCCCATTATTGGGATGAGACGAATAACCATCTTTTTAGCCCCCATAATAGGATCATATGACCGATCATCCTTAATGATGATCATATCCATGACTTCATCTTACATCCCCTTTTGTAGGGAAACAACATAAGGGTCTATCAAGTTCACAAACACTCACACCTCTCCCTCAATAGCATCCTTACTGAAGTGGTTTCCTCCATATTTGAGGCCTTCGTACCAAAATTCACTTATGCTCTCTTATAAGATACCTTTCTGTAAGCATGAACACCAAGAAGAGTGGAAAGATCCATCTCATTAGAATAAATCAAGGCTCATATGTCAAAGAAAAAGAAAACACCAATTGGACACAGTATTAGTATTTATAGAGAAACAAGATACTAGACCATCCAATCCCTAAGGGTATACAAACCTTAAGAAACTATAAAATTCAGGGTAGTGAAATTACATTACTCTTACTCTCTTCTCTAGTTTTTTTCTTTATCCGGCTTTTTTGACATCTAATATTCAAATGGTTAAATAAATTAAGGAACTAAATATACACCCATGACTACCTATGCTTGTACATTTTCATATATGTCTTGCAGGCTGTGTTTGGGTCAAACAGATAGAGAATTCTATTCTCTTCTCTCTTTGAATAGTATTTTTTAGGGACTCTCTTAAGAACTGGGAAGGAGCTTAACACTAGATCATGCTGGACCAACTTCGGTCACATCCTCCATGCAATCACCTTTTTAGTGGTGTTAACCTCAAAAGTTTTTATCAACGAGGAAAATATTTATCCATACTGGCTAGAGTGAAGCTCCCATATGCGAACATCAATAATTAAGCTAATGGCATATATCTCTTGAACAAGAAATCTCTTGTAATTGAATTGTCCTCAAGACAACATCAACATGCTACTTTTCGCCTCTCACCTCGATGGGATGGCCTTAGGCCGATTTCCTACTATAGACATGCTCAATCTATGGACTGCATTCATACTCTCATTACCCCTCTCACCTCAATGGGGCAACCTCTAATTGGTTTCTTATTAATGCTACCTTAATACATGAGTCCATCCTACTTATATCCTCTCTCATGATAATCACCACTTCACTCAACGTAGATGACCGAGCTATATTAAAGGTGGATGGAAGAACAATTGTGACTCATACATATCCACCATAATTCCCCAAAGAATATACAAAGAGGGGGGAGGGTCATCAAAAAGTGGACCATGGTGATCAATATTTTACGTTTAGCTTGAGCTATGTAGTATAGAGCCCTTGCTTCTAGTATTATAAATCTAGCTTAGATAATGAAACTTTTGTTTAGATCCACATTCTATCTCTCTCTCTCTATCTATCTCATATTATGATATTATCATTTTCACCTTCAGGCTCTTAGTCCATAAGTGGCTTGAAGTACACCCCAGCATCATCCACTAAATAAAACAAGATTCAACAATATGCTCAAAAAAATATTATCATTTTAACATGTATATTCCACATTTAACATAAATATGAATATGTATGAATTGCCACATATATGATATTGTAGTGTCCAACACATGTATACCTTTCATACACACTTGATATTTATCTTTTGGAAAAACATTCATGAGTCCTTAAAACACCATTTCTAGATTTTTAATGAACAATGGTCAATGTTAGAAATTCCATATTTTTTGGCACTATTGTAGGGAAAGAATTTTTTTATTTGCAAATTTATTATATTATTGAATAAGTTACAAAATTAGTCATACTATATTTTTTTTCTTTTATTTTAAATTATTGATTCCATAGTTATAGTTGCATTCTTATAAATCATGGAGGGGCATCATGTTTAAATTTTGATTTTAAAATTGAGAAAACCCATTCTAAATTAGAACCACTAAAAAGATTTTTTAAATGGCTGACCCTATTCAAATTTTATACCATTTTGGACCTCAAAGGTTTTGGAAACCCTTTAGTATATGGAATTAACCAAAGCATATATAGACCAGTCATCCAAGTAAATAAATTTAAATTAAAATGTGCAATCATTCAGATGGTATAGAATTCTCGGTTTGGGCGAACTCCCATTGAAGACCCTAACCTACATTTAGCAAGTTTCTTAGAAATTTGTACAAAATCTAAGTACAATGGTGTTAGTGATGATGTCATCATACTTAAATTATTCCCATTTTCTTTAAGAGACAAGATAAAAATGTGGTTAAATTCTTTACCCTCATACCCTATTATAACATGGAATTAGTTGGCCCACTCATTTCTAGGAAAGTATTTCCCACATTCTAAGAATACCAAGCTTAGAAATGACATTACGACTTTTAATCGTTTAGATGGAGAATCTATCTCTGAGAATTAGGAGAGATTTAATGTTATGCTTAGAAAGTGTCCTCACCATACCTTACCTGATTTGTTGCTAATTCAAACTTTTTATAATGGATTGGTAGGATATCTTAGAGACATAATTGACGCTACAGTTGGAGGTTCTTTGATGTCAAAGCCTTTTCAAGATACTTATAAATTAATTAAAGAAATGGTATAAAATAATTTATAGTGAAATGTTGATAAGGTAAATCCTAAGAAAGTGGCAGGAGTCTATGAAAATAATTCTTCATCTATTTTGACAGCATAAATTGAAACAATATCAAAGAGGTTGACCACTTTAGTCATTAATTCTTATTTATCTTTATATTTAAAAGATAAAAACTCAGTGGAAGAAAATGATATCTAAAAAATTGAAAATAGAAATTTGATAGGAAGACAAAATAATCTCTATTCAAATACATATAATCCAAGTTGGAGGATTTTCCCAAATTTTAGTTGTTCAAATAATAATAGTGAAAATCAAAGGAATTCTTGTCAAAATAATGAAGGCATAAATTGGAATAATAAAAATTAAGATAATAACAATCCAAGGCCAGCATATCCTCCTAGATTTAATCACAAAAATTAGTATGGAACTAGAAAGACACCAATAGAACATATAGTCATGCAATTGGGAATTCAATTACAAAACCAATTCGCTTCTATTAAAAATTTGGAAATCAACTAAGTCAGCTTACAATTTGTGTGAGTAGTATACCCATTGGATCTCTTCCTAGTAACATAGAAGTTAATCCTAAAGACAAGGAAAGAGATATTAATTGGGCACAATTGAAAGGTAGTAATCATCCACCTTAGCCAAATGGAAAATTCAAGAAAGTATGATTGAAAACTATAAACTTAGGACTACTTGAGAGGCAACCCAACCTTAGGTCTTTTTAGTTATCCAGTTTGACTGCAAACTAAAAACATACCACTTTAAGAGAGGAAACCTTATCTTTTAAGTTAAGTTTTGCTTAATTTTCTTCAAAAAAAAAATCTTTGAGAGAGAATAAGGGAGCACCATAGCACCGTACCTTTGAACACCTAGTGCCCCAACTAGGAATAAAGATTGAAATTTTGAAATATTCAAACTTTCCTCCCGCTGAAATATATAAAACAAATTAGGACGAAGTTCATTTCTCAGTTCTTACCTACTCTTGAGTGAGTAACATACTTTCTTCTCATGGAAATTAAAATTCTAAGCGATGGGTAGAATTAAGCATACATCATCATTTAAAAAAAAAAACAAAATGAAAACTATACAAAAAATGGGTGATTCTTTTCCTCTTCTCTACATGTAGAGTTATATCATTATTACTAAGTTGAATGAATTCAAAGAGGAATTACATGAAGATAAGAAGAAGTACATGGTGGAAATATGGAAGATGTATTATGGTAGAATTTTCTTGTATGATTTCTTTCCTAGGCAAGTTGTGTTGCTATTGGATTATAAGGAAAAGCATTTTAATAAAAAAAAATCAAATCTGGATGGATTAGCTCTTTCACTATCATTATAATTTTTCTTAATGGTTCCATCAAGTTACATGATAAAAAAACTTTGCAAATCATTAAAGTCAATGGTATAAGTTAAAGCATATTATTAGAGGAGTTAAGAATTCTTACAGATGTGTATGTGTTTTTGCTATTTTATTTTATTATTTTATAGAAGAGAAGGAAGTGATGAGAGATATTGGCTTAAGTAATTATACTTAATTAGAAAATTTAGCTTTGAGAGTCATTGTTGAATGTCGGGTGCCATGTGCATTGGTTATCTTATAAATGTAATATGTTTGAATCATATGCTATGTTTTATGTTTAACACATTTTATGCACTTTTTATCACTCATACAAAATCATGTGCTTGTAGTGTTTGTTTATGTATTTATTTATATATTAGCAAATTTCTTTCATGCTTAAATTATTATAGTCCTCCAATTACTTTTATATTATGATTATTTTATTAACCCTTATAAAAATGATAATTAATATAAAAACATTAGGATAATAATAAAACCCTATGTCCTAGTTTGAATGAACTCTATTTAAACTTCATAGGTTAAAAAAACTAGTACTTAACTCATTCAACCATTTGAGCAATTATCCTAATTTTAATTTATAAGTTATAACATTATGAATTTAACTTTTAAAATTTTAAGATGAATAATTAGTGTTAAAAATTAGATATGAGTATATTAAAATTTGAAATCATAGCTAACCTGAATATGGAATTAGTAATCTCATCAAATTTGTACATTAAAATTATTAAGATTGTATTTAAATCTTAGAGTAGAAGTTGATATTCAAAACACTAATTATATTTTTTAGAAATGAAAAAGAAAAAGAACTATAAATAGTTCTTAAAAAGAATATATATATATATATATATATCAAAAATAAAATATGAATACATTCTAAAATTCGTATAAGTGAAAGCTTAAAATTTGAAATACAATCTTATAAAAAAATTGTAAGGGATAAAATAAGAGAGCTAATACAAGGGATGGTGAACTAATGAAAGTATAATTTTACTACAACCATATCCAATTATTATAACTACATTATTCACTTCAACAATCAAAATTTAATAATTAAATCTATAACCTATAATTTTAAATTAGGTGAAAATAAGAATGATTGAATAAGTTTTACTATTGGTATTTTTTCAAACTAGAAGTATAATTTTGTTTCATTTTTACTAATTCTAGACAGTGATGTATTATCCTATATTTTACTATTTTTAGATTATCACTTTTTATTTTGGTTAATCACTTAATTAGAATTAGAAAACTTTAATTTGCTAGAGGACTAGCATGAGTTTAAGCTAGGGAGAAGGATTTGATAAGTGTAAATAATGTTATATTTTATGTCTTAATTTATCAGTGAAAATATGTTATTTTAGTTGTGTTTCTGCAAAAAAATATTAAAAATGGGCAATGTTTAAGTATGGTACATCATCATGGCGTTGGACACTTTACCGTCAAGTCGCCATCCTTGACAACATCGAAGCACCCACATATGGAAATGGTAGTGCCTAGTCTCTATTTGATAGCACCGTAGCGTCGGAGGAGTTCGCACCACAAAGCCCAATCTTTGTCTGCACATTACTATAGTGGCAAATTCCAGCACCGCCAAGCCAAGGGGAGTTCCATATTAATGCCACATCTCTCAATCACTAACAGTGTCGTAGCACTACAATTGTAACCATTACTAGTGAAGTGATGCATAAATTCATTAAATAGCAGGTCCTTATTAGCAAGCATCATAGCAGAGGAAACCCTTTAGTGCTATAATGTTAGTTCATTTTATGAGCATCACAACACAAGTGTCTCAAGTGTTGTGTTGCCATAATCCTTTTTTTTTTGTGTTTTTCTATAAATTGCCTATTAATAATGTTAGTAGAGGAGTTCAATCACTAGTTTAACTTCAGTCTTTATAGTGTTTCTTTAACTTATCCTTAGGAGTGATAACTAAGAAAATTCAGAGAAGTACAAGATACATTACATTGGAGTGCTTGGCTTGTGTTTGTGTTAGCAATTCTATAAGTTCGAGGAGTGTAGAGGAGATCATTGAACTCACCCGATAATATATTTTCTTTTATACTTTCTTTCTTTTGTGTAATTAATGAAAATAAATTTTTTTCACTTGTTCTTCAAGTTTAACTAAATTCTATAGTTTTGAATTGATGGTACAAATAGAATGTGGAGTACTAATGAATTCTCTTCATCAATAATTTCATGAAAATTTTCAATAAACTATATCTTCATTTAATTAACATAGTGGCCATATGTGTGGTTAATACTAGGTGTAATGTGAAGCATAGGAATAAGAGAGTAGGTATGACCAAGTATGTTGGATTTGTATGATACAAATATAAGCATATTGCTTGTCATATATCAAATTTATAGAAATGAATTATCATGAAGGGGCTTTTAATAGTATTTACTTTACTTGCTCTTTTAAGATTCTTATAGGATGACATACTATGGGAGTTTAGTATGTATTAAGGTTGGAAAATTTAATCTATCATTTATCTCTTCACACTTAATAAAGTGGTCAGTGATGCATATGCTATGAATAACATCAATGTAAAAGAAAATCATTAAGAAACATATTGCAATTACATTCCATCAATCCAACAAAAAATTATAAAAAATAGTGTTTCATTTAAATATTTTTTATTTTAAATTAAGTGATTGAATATCCACTAAAACTTACTTTTTTTAAATAGGATAATAGTTGTAGTTGAAGTAGGCGGTACTAGTATTTGTACATAAATATTCTTCCTTATGGGATCGATATTCGACTCTACAACTATATTACTAAATTTGGCGTGTATACTCAAGTAAATAATGTGGGGGTTTTATCATTATTATATCAAACATTATTTAGGTATTAATAGAGCCTTAAATTAATTTCATAATCCTTTAGGTTACTCCACCTACCCCATCAATAATCCAGCAGATGTATCAATAGTAGCCTGATGAGCTCCAATAGCACGAAGCAGCATTATGAGGCAAATCGAGCTTAGTTTAGCGACCAATTTTTTGCCCTTCACCAGTATTTCTAGCGACCACCACCACCTCACCATATTGTTGTTCTTCTTACTTTAAGGCTTGTTTTTGTTTTTTTGTAGTCTTTATTTCTATTTGTATCTCCTTTTTATTTGGATTTCTCTCCTTATTAGTGATGTCAAAAGGTGGAGTATGTGTTTGGTTATAATTGTTGATATTTTACCTAATTTAGTTTTGCTTTTTGTACGAAAGTGTTTTTTATATTGCTTTATTATTCTACAGTTAAAAATAAAAAAAAAATTATTCAAAAAAAAAAAAAAAACATTTCCCCCAAAATTTTAAAATAATTCACTTTAAAGGGAAAGATTAAAAAATCATAAAATAAACTTAAAAATTCAACCAATGTCTAAACCTTAGGTTTGCATCCACAAATTTTTCCCCTACGTTAGAAAGAAATTAAGATGGGGTTTATTTTATTTTGGGTTCTAGAATCCCTATAGGGGCAAGTCCATATAGTTAATTACATCT